TTTTGGTGTATTTATAAGCATTATTGTGGGTAATGAAATTAACGCTTTCTTTAGTCACATTTTCACTTGTTTTAAGTACTTTGAATTATTATAAAAGAAGCCTTATGCGATTTATTAGGAAAATAATGATTACTTATCGAAATAAATTCGATAACATTCCCTACAAAGCGAATAAACTAAATAGAGATATTATATTCAGGTTCCTATTGTAAAGAAAGACACATTTTAAAATAAATAAAATAACTAAAATCAAAAGAAGCCTTTCTTATGCGATTAATAGAGTTAATATCGAATATATATCGTAAGTATGATCAGAAACTTTCCCCACAAACCAAATAAAATACTTTAAAATATAATCTTAATAAAATTCAGCACCCTTTGGGTTATAAATTAAATCTTTAAACAAGGAAAGCTGATTTTTCTTTCCCTTAATTTTATTCCAGGTTTATTTGCAGTTAATTTAAATTGTTGCTGCTTACTACATTGTGCCCTAATTATGCAAAAGTTTTTCGGCATCGAAAACAAAAAGCTGGGATTAAAGATGAGCACTTACATATATATAGTATATAGTATATATTGTAGTATGCAGAACAGTATCTCTATCTACCGACACGGCTCATTATCATTTCTGCAATCCACTTGAATCCGCCTTTTGTTTTGCTGTCCCATCCGAAAATGTTTTGTTTTATTAATTAAAGCGAAATGCGACGGGGCCTGGGACCGGATTAAAATTAAAAACAAGGGAAAATCGCGCATTAAGGGAGAGTGAGAGATGGATAGGCAGCCGAGGCAGACTGGCAACAATTCTTTTCTACGCACGGCCAGACTCTACTCTTTGCAACATAATTGGAATTTCCTTTTTCCTGCTGCCGCTCTCAGCTCTCAGCCTCCTCCTCCTTCTCCTCTTCTTGTCAAGTGGCACAAAAGACAAGAAAAGAAAGGAAAATAAAAGAAAGGAGAAGCTTCAGAGACCTGCCCGCTTGACCATAAGCTGTCCCATTCAGGCAACAACTTGAGCGGCAGCAACCTGATGTTCGTTCCTCCGTTCCTCAAACCTTCCTCAGAAGAAGTCAAGAAGATATGGCATGAGTCAGAGGAGTATTCTGAGAATGTCCTCGAAGAGTTGAGTTCATGGGCCTGAGACTTGGTCCCAGTCCCAGCTTGGGCTATAAACTTCAGACCTCCAAGACCCAACACAACTCACAATTTCCAGCTTCCTCTGCAGAAGCCACAGTGCTTTAAGACAGTAAATGAACAGCAGAAATTCTTGCCAGTTAGACTAGGTACTTGTCTCTGGTAAGCATTTTCTTAAAGTTATATTATTACCTTGTTAAAAATTCGTCTAAAAACAAGAAAGAAAAGCCAAAGATGATATAATCTTGCAGTTTGCGATCATAACAAAGTTAAAGTTATTCTCTTTCTTTGAATCGATATTTATCGATATTATATGCAAATTTTTGTCCAAAAATCAAAGTTGAAAAATCTCATAACTAAGTCAAAAGAGCTTTAATTTGAATTCGGAAAACTGACATTTGTTATTTTTTATTAGGTTAATAAATCTGCATACTCAGTTTGTACAAAAAATACAATTTTTATAAATTTTTTTAAAAATTTAACGATGTAACCCCTTATAAAATTTTGAAAAAAAAAAAATAAATTTACTCCCATAAATGTGTTGATCGATTCGGTTTGTGAATATATATGATTTATAGGGTCGGAAATGACTCCTTCTGACTAAAATTATTATACCCTTGCTAGAGTATAAATATGTTAATTATACTTTTTACTATTTCATAATCTTGCTAATAAAACATGTTGTATTTTGGGCATACCAAACCCATGAGTAACTTGTTCCATTTGTTTTAAAAAGCAGGTTTAACTTGAAAGCCAAAGATGGCCACATACTCATGTTCTTTAAATAAGTTGGTAATAAATTTTGCAATAAATCCTGTTGCAAATTTACCTTTTTGTTTGCATTTCTCTCTATGAAAAGCATTGAAGTGCTGGTCTTATAAAAAATCAACTATGTAAAATAAGAAAAACCCACTCAGGATTGTGCTGAATTTTTCCCGCAGCTTCTCTAACTTCCTTGGACGACTTTTTCCTTCATTCATCTCGCGTTGGCCCTCATCTCTCGTCCATTAATGGTAGTATGACTAACTGTCCTAACTGACAGTTTTCCCAGGCCACGATGGCCAGAGTGAAAGCGGCACCCAATTAAGCCAGTTTCGGGCTTAGCTAATTAGGACTGTCCACCACCATCATCACTCTTCACTCTACCGGCTTTTCTTTAGTATTTTTCTTCATTCCTTTTCTATTTTCTCACAAGAATATGGAACACGGGGCTCCCGTTTAGAGCGAAAAACATAAAAAACACGAAAATCTTTTAAGTTTACAGCACAAAAAGAAAAAAAATTAGAGCAACAAACTGACCACCACAAAAGCTAGCTGAGTGTTTCCTCACTTTCCACACACAAAACTGTTGTTTTTCCAAAGATTTTCATGATTTTCAGGGCCCTGTAAAAAATGCAGTGATCATCTTGAGATGACTCAGCTTTTGCATTAAAGCTACAAATTTTATGCCTTCTCTGGGAAATTGGAGAAGTAGAAATATATATAGGGAGTATATATATGGGGAGACTTTGAGCGTTAATTAAATTTGACTTTGTGCTGTATTAGAATGTTTTTTTAAAGGTCTTCCAGCTTTTGTGGTCCAAACCGGATGCGGTAATTGCTGGGAAGTCAGACCAGAGAGTCATCTTCATTTTCTTGAGAATCTCTCTTCATCTCGACTTTAGGAATACAGTTCTTTCCAGAAGTTTGCGACCTTTTATAAAACTGATTGAATTATGGTTTAAAGATGAAGATATAACTTTTGCTTGTACGATTGGTTAAAGTCCGGTTTAGCTTTTAAGCTATAAAATAATTTAACTGCTTGTGGCACTGCTACTTTGTTGTTTTAGTAATTTTGTAGGCCTATTATTTATTCATTAACTATATGTTTTTGCTAATTTGTTGTTTCTGTTTTATAAGCATGTATATATCTTTCTGTTTTATATATTTTTCTAACTTCTTTTTTTTTGTTTTGTTTTCAGTTTCCATTAAAGCCTTAATGAGCTGATTAAATCTTCAAAGAACCTACAAAAAAGATTTAGCTTAATGATCTTATAAAAGATTTGGTATTTATTGTTAGTATATCTGAAGATTTTAAAGATTTAGAATTCAATTTCATAGGGAAAAAGTTCACCAAACAAATTGAACCTCATATAGAGAACCTTCTCCTGGCAACCCATATCGCCTTGCATAATATATCTATCTTTTGCGTTATTTGTCCAACTTTTACGGCACCAAAGTCAGGTGCTGTACAGACTTTTGGGCCAGGCACAAAATAAAAAAAACTAAATCTGTATTTGGTGTATTTAATTCTCCAGACTCTCCCAATGTCATGTTCACACAACAAATTTATGATATTTGACCAGCAACGATTCGTATATAGCGAGTGTTATGAGGTAAAACAAATATTAGGTCTAGAATTTCGGGTAATTGCGATAAGAAACATGAAGATTTTGAGTTTTCCACTCGTCGGGAATGTTGATAATTATTTCTGTATTCTGTTGTTTTCCTTATTTTTTTGGTCTTTTATTTGCTTAGCGTGCGTTTCAGGGTCGAGACTGCAGGTAAGTACTATTACCAAGTGCTCAGGTAGATCTCTTATATCTCTATCTGTAGGCGAAAGATAAGCTGATTTTTTAGCTAAGTCAGCCCTTAGTTAAGGTGCTAAATAGCAGCCATAAGAGTGGTTTAGTTATAATGCTATATAAAGGGTGTTAGCTAATGATTTGTCAATTTTTTAAGACTTTACTTGAGTTTGAATCATAAAAAATGAGTGGATTTAGGAAGTATTTCTTTGAAATTAGGAAATTAAGATGGTTTTAGGCCTTAAGACAGGTGATAAAAGTAAGTAATTTGTCTAACCTAGTTTATATGCTAATAAAAATTGGTCTGAGAAGAATATATAAAATTATCTGTATATATCATAGTACATATCTTATACATTTAGTTTATATAGCATATATATATATTATATATGTATATTATAAACCTATAATAAAATATGTCTTAAATATGGGACACAATATTTCTTAAATTAAATGTACATTTTTCGTATACTTAGAACGATTTTTCATCAACTAAATGCCTCTAATCATGGCCATTTAATAATTAAAAATAAAGACAATTTGTAACTAAGTTTAAGAGTAATTTTTTTAAAATTATAAAATACAATAAGTTAAGTTTAGGATAAGTAACTATGAAAAATGGTTACTTGCTACTTTTAAAATTCCACACACACATCACATATCAAAGAGTTGGCCGGCAGCTAGCAGCCGACACTTCGTTTCAGGGATGTTAGAACCAGTTGGGAATTATATGTGCACACGTGTGTGATTTTCGTTAAGAAGCTTTTACTCTGTCAAGAGTCGTTTCCGACCCTATAAACCTTATATATTCTTGATCAGCATCAAAAGCAGAATCGATCTGGCTACCCCAAGCACAAAAACATTTTTTTTAATTTTTTCGAAATTTTTTAAGGGGTTTCATCGATAAAATTAAGCTAGAAAAATTGATAAAAATTTAAATTTTTTTTATATTTTAAACTGAGTATGCAGATTTATTAACCTAATAAGAACTAACACGGAACAGCTTTCCGAATTAAAATTAATGTTTTTTTGGCCTAGTTATGAGATTTTTAAATTTTGATTTTTCGTAAAAATTGTCGTATAATAATATCGATATACATAGATCTTTAAGTTTGATTTAACATACTTTTTAAGTCTAATACATATATTCCTATAAAGATTTATCTTAAGCTTTCTTCCCATTATCACCCTTTAATTTTCAATTTGCTGCCTCATTTGTACCCTGCTTCTATTTCTCTATGTTTCTAATTATAAAACACCCTAAATAAATTAATGTTTTTTTTTGTTAAATTTATCACTCACCGATTAATGAACTGCAGCAGAGCAGGAGCGCCAGAATGAGATGCTGCGGCAGCAGCGCTTTTCGCAGTTCTCCCATTTTTTATAGCTTTTCTTTGTGTTTCTTTTTAAGCTGTCTTTTTAGTTTTTTTGTATTTGTTAAACTTCTTTGGTTTGTTTATGTTTGCACTTGAAAAAAATGTTTGAAAAAATTGGAGTTGCTTTAGCTTCCTCCTTTTCTTCGAATCTTGTTGAGAATCTGCAAATGAATAAGAAATTAAAGACAAAATTAATTAGTTTTGGGTTTTAAGTGAGTGTTATTTGGTATTTTCTGACTCAAAATGGTTAATTCTTTGAAAGAATTCGGTTTTAAAGACTCCTTTTCATGCTCCTTTGCACTTTAATGTCTTACTGAGTTGGCAGGAAGTTCATTTGCATTTGATATTTTGATTATTTCTCATAACTTTAACATTTTCCTTCGAATTCAAATGGCAAATGTTGGCATTTATTAGCAAGAACCAGGTGAAGAAGAAGCAGTAGTAGCAGCAGGAGAAGAATAAGCAAAAGTAGAAACAAACGTAGCAAAAGAGCAAGCAAAAAAGCACAGAAGTCGCGTCACACACGAACGATTTTGGCGGCGAGAGTAATGGCAGCGAGAGGGAGAAGGAGTGATGGCCAAACAGAGTGCTAAATGTGTGCGTGCGTATGTGTGCGACTCTGGTGTCTCTTCGTAGCTTCCATTCTAAAGTTGGCGGCGGCGGCCATAAGAGGAAAAAAGGAAAAATGCCCTGCAGTACCTGTCATCAGTAATTCATCAACGTTTCATCAACAGCGAAGGGGGTGCTGTTGATGATTCATCGATGACAGCCCATACAAACTGTTGATGAATTTAACATGGGCATGTCCTAGGCTGTCATCAATAGAAATTCATCAACAATAAATCGATGATTCATCATCAATTCATCGATGTATTGTTGATGACACATCGATGAAACATCGATGTTTCATCAACAATTCATCGATGTTTCATCATCAATTCATCGATGTTTCATCAACAATTCATCATCAATTCATCGATGTATTGTTGATGACACATCGATGAAACATTGATGAAACATCGACGATACATCGATGAAACATCGATGATACATCGATGAAACATCGATGATACATCGATGAAACATCGATGATACATCGATGAAACATCGATGATACATCGATGAAACATCGATGATACATCGATGAAACATCGATGATACATCGATGAAACATCGATGATACATCGATGAAACATCGATGATACATCGATGAAACATCGATGATACATCGATGAAACATCGATGAAACATCGATGATACATCGATGATACATCGATGAAACATCGATGATACATCGATGAAACATCGATGTTTCATCAACAATTCATCGATGTGTCATCAATAATAAATTAATTAAAAAACATAAATAAGGGATTTCATATTTCAATTCATTCACTTTTATTATATCCTCTTAAAAACTAACATAATAAAATTAAAATTATACATAAAATAATACAAATAATCAAATTAAAAATATTTCTTATAATAATACAAAATAAATTTTAAAAATAATAATACAATAATAATAATTATAATAATTAACATTAAAAATTAAATATTAATGTATTGAAAAACGCTCGGACCACATTCTAACACGTCTTCATCCCTTTTCCTTTTTTTATGTTGCGCCTCCAAATTTTTTGCGCAAGGAAGGCTTTTAGTTAAACGGTTGGCAAGCGGCTCCGTTGCATCAACTTGACTTATTGCATCTGAAAAGGAAAATTTGGAAAATAAATTGATATCAAAATCTAAAAAAAAATACATAATTACCTAAGAGTGCAGAGTAGAACTTCTTATGGTCTCGAAGCCTTTTCTTACACTTCGCACCATCGATGTATCACAATAGCTGCATGCAGACACGAAGTGGGAGGACGGGAAGATGTACTCAAAATAGAAGACAGAATTGATACGAAAGTAAACTTTTTTTAAATCTTTACATAAAAACTCACCTGATATATAATTTCAATTATTGAAAACTAAACAGAATATTTATATATGTATGTAAATTTTTTTTTTAATTTGGCCTGCGCAGTGCGCACACTTCTCACTTAGTTCACTGTTTAACTGCAAGTGAAAACACGAATAAGCAATAGAAAAAAAGGACTGTGCCTCCAACAACAAAACGAACCACGATTCGGAAAAACGGATCCTCAAGTCCGTTTTTTTTCTCTTATTGTTCGTTTCGTTTCACAAAGTCCCGTTTGGCTATCTTGTGTCCGAGTGTTTTGCTTCCTTGTAAACAGGGTATAAAGGATATATCCGACGAGGCAACAAGTTACTTAAAATGTTATTGCAGCTCAAACAATTTTGTTCGATATGCAATTATTTTTTCATTCGCGTTTTATATTTAAAGAATATTTATTCCTAATACCATCATTATAATTGTTAATGATAATATATTATACACATAAAAATGCTAAAGTTCTAGGGTGCGAAACAGTTGGTTCGATTTTAATTGTTAACTTATTTGCTTTTGGCTCATCTCACTCGTTTGAAGAGTGAGTGAGGCAGTGAGATAGGCAATCACCATGGCAGCATTAGAGCGTAGGCTCCGTACAAGTCGCAGTCGGCAGAGCGTCGACTTTATAGAAGTCGCAGCCGGCAGAGCGTCGACTCGGTAGAAGTCGCAGTCGGCAGAGCGTCGACTCTATAGAAGTCGCAGTCGGCGCGTTGATGACGGGTTGATGACAGTGGCTATTGATGACACGCGGTACTGCAGGGTGGTAACCTGCTAGTTCTGCCGACTGCGCTGCCAGCTTTGCACACATGTGTCGGCCAGTTTTGTAACGGAAATTGGGCCCGCTCTCTCTCTCTCTCGTGCGCAATTGAGACACACGTAGGGTGCAATAAGGAAAGATGAGAGAGAGCAGAGCGGTAGGACCTGCTCTCTCTCGCTCTCGTTGATCGTAATCTTAGCAAGGAAAAGAGAACCAGCTACAGAGAGAGGCCTTACTATCTTACACATCTACCATGGAGAGACAGAGAGTGAGATAGCGAGCGAGAGCCACCTTGGATTAGCAATTTGTTTTTGTCATTCCAACGATAAGTCGTGACTCAAGAAGCACCGACTATCTATCTATCTGTCTCTGTCGCGCTTGGGAGTTGCACCTAGGCCGAATGTCCTTGGAATGCAGCAAGCTCAAGCCAGGTACAGTAAGCACTAGACAAGTGAGGAGACATTTAAAAAATATGTTTAATATTTATCCATTTGAAAAGTGTAAAAAACAGCCCATTTGTTTAGGGTTTATCTTTTAAAAAGATCTGCATAATAAACCAAAAATTCGTATAATATTTATATAACAAAATTTAGAGAACATCAAATTTGTTTAATATTTATCCATTTAAAATATGTTAAAAACAACAAATTTCTTTGTCAAAAAACTTGCACGTATATTAAGTATACGCAAGGGTGTACCTTTCCAAGTGTTTTTTTAAATGACAAATTTATTAATCACCCACAAAACGTGCCATTCAGACAGTAAAAAACAACACGACAACAATCTGAGTGACTCAATATTTATGTACTTTATTAATTAAAATAAATTATCCATCAGTTCAAAGAAACCTAACCATATTTCTGAGAAGTAATCTTTAAAATTAAATTTCAAATTTCAAACGGATAAATAAAGACCTCTTTCGCGTATCCCCACTGTACCGTACTGTTGTAGGCGCTTGCCTCTAGAGGCGAGCCTGTCTTTTTCCCACTAATCCCTGGGCCCCCTTAGCGGGGATTTCCCTTGGCTTACGGCTATTACAGTTACAGTTACCGTATAATCGATATTTGGGGCAGGCCTTGACTTTTCCTAGAACCAGCTAATGGGTGTGGGAACTTGTTTTAGCACATGCATATGGGGCCCACTATATATTCCTCAAGACAAAATACTTTGAAAGCGAGAAGCAAAAGACCAAGTACCCAAAATATTCATAAAGTTTCAAAAACGCTAATTATAATGGCAAACTTTCAAACAGGCAGAAGCGGCGGCGGCAGCGGTGGCAGAGGTGCAGGAAATTTGGAAATCTGTTCAAGTTGCATAAAAGTTTAGAAGTTTTCCACTTGATATTCACTGAATTATTAATGCTGATGTCAAATGATTTGATTTTGACTTGACTTCCCGGACTTTGGACACGGACTGACGCAGGAACAAATTTTAATTACATTTTTTTTGCGCGAGGGGGTGGGCTTTCCCCGATTTTCATTTGATTGGTTAATAAGGCGCTTAAATATGAGGCATTTACTGAGAGTTTTCAATTACTTTTTAAAAGTTTTTCAACAACTTAATGTTTGTGAAATGTTGAACTACTAAAACATACTATTTAAATTCACTTTTTAGGAGTTTTGCTTGTAAAAAACATGAAGGAAATAAATGAGAGTAATTTATTTTAGGTAGAAAATATGGCTATAACATTTTTACGGAACATCGTATTAAGTTCAAATTAAAATTTAAAATAAATATAAATATAAATAATTCTTTATAATACTTAATTGAAAAAAAATATATATTTCCTTCATTTTTGTGTTTTAAACTCAACTAATTGTTTAAATATATATTTAATAAAAATCTTTAACATCTGTAAAATATATTTAAAGATACTTTAAAGAGTTTCCCTTTAAAAATAAACCATATTTATATTTTAAAAATTATTCTAGGTACAACAAATAAATTTTGTAGGAAATATTTATATAAAAATTCCCTTGAATCAACTCTTTAAACTGTTACAGCTTTAAAATCCCCAAAATATTCTCTGGAAATATTAATTTTCGGAACTACAAAAGTTGACTTTAAGCCAAAAGTTTGAGTCAGAGCCTTTGATGATATTAAAAATAAAGTTTTTTATTTTTTGTGGACCGAAACCACAGCAAATGGAAATAACTTTTGTTTGAAGAGGGACACAAAGTCGCCAGTTGGTTGAAGTAATAATTGCGAAATGGAATTTAAAAATTGGTAACGGTTGAATTTTAAAGATCCCCTGGTAACTTTTCCGGGATGTTTGGGAGTTTTCCCCCCTGTTATTTTCCATTATTAACTTGGCTCATTTTTCTGTTAAA